AGTTGTTACGAAGAAACGATGTCACCTTTCCTGGTGGTGAGAGGGGCACTTCCCCAGCCAAACAGCCAGGGAGGTATTGAAGAACTGGAACTTTGGGCCAGTAGAAGCAGAGATTCTTAATCCAGGTTTCAGAATCATTATTAAGAATGACCATCCTGGAGACTGCCAGCTAAATTAGTCTTAAAGCGTAAATATAGTTATGAGACAACCTACACAGCTAGGATTCTAAACCCGTGCAGATTAAACGTAAACTACTAGAATATTTCCTTTAACTGAAATCCTGAGAGGGAAGGGGAAACGTGATCACCAAGATCAAGCAGATATGGCGGAGGGAGACATCTCTGTAAGATGCACACACGTTAGAGGCATGGAAGCACTGCTGTCTCTGCAGCTTCGGACACTGTAACCAGAACCGAGGGCCAGGGCTCAAATACCAATCTAACATTCGAAACCCATGAGCCCGATCTGTTTTCCAGGACTTCAGACTCAGCTGCACAAGGCCCAATTTTCTGTTATACCTCTCTCCCAGAAACAGCCCCCTTGAAACTGCAAAAGATTTGTTATATAGTGGGATTTAAAGAAAATGTGATAAAACATTAAAACCAGCAGGAGGATGTGTGCAGAATCTGTACAGGTGCTCAGTTGAGCACAACACATTCTGTGTGCTATGGCTGAAGTAAATTAGCTAGCGAGTACGTGCATGCCATTAGCAAGTATTTCCTTAAAATTGCTTAGCATTATTCAAAAACCCACAGTTACAGTTCAACTGCTAAATAATTCATTGCTTAAAGGTGTGTCAATACACGTTTGCAAGGTAAAGCACAAGCAGACCCAAACAGTTCAGGGGATAGCAAACAAGCTCCAGTGCTGGGCCCTGAGACACAACCATAAGCTGTAGGATGTCTGTAAGGAATTCCAAAGCTGGGAAATGTAAAACATGATGCAGTACAGAAGCCCAGAGGATCAAGTTTAACCCCAACCCAAAAGAAGTCCGAAATCTGTCCTTAAAGCATCCTGGCGCCGATGGCCTTCTATAGCCCCCGAAGCACAGGAGGTAGCTGGAGAAGCAGCATAGTTTGATGTACACTTCTAACATCTAATAACCCAAAGAGCTCAAATGAAGTCAGGTCTCAGACAGATGACACTAATAAAAAGTGGAATTGGCTACCATATTCCAAGAAGTTTTAAGCATGGATTTGTTCCCTTAAGTGTTTCATTAAATTGAAATCTGGAAAGTGAGGGGGTTTGGATCCTCCACAGTATCTGATGCAATTCAGCTCCAGTCAGCGTTTCACCGTTTGTCCCCAAGCCCTTCTCGAGTGAGCGGCCAGGACTGCGCACGTACCTTCCCCACGCAATCTGACTCAGGAGTGTCACCCCAGCATATTCACATTGCTTTTATTTAGGTCTTCTGCCAACAGTTACAGGGTAACAGACACTTGGGACTGCAAAGTCAAAGTTGCAAGCAAAAATCAGGACCAAGGCAAAAAAAAAAAAAAATCCACAAAGGCAATCAAATCAAATCAAATATAAATACAATGTTCTGGAGCTCTTTCATCATACCATTTTCTTTAATAAAGAGGTGGTTATGATCTTACAGTATTTTCTTTTGGCCTAATCCAAGGATTTTGTTACTCTTCACCAGTCTTAATTCCACACATACAAAAAAAAAATTGATATTCAACCTTTAAAATATAAGCCATATTTTCTTAATAAAATAAGTTTTGTGCTGCTGCTTGTTTAGTAAGTACTGTACATCAACTGTTCACGTCTATTTAACAAATGGACCATACAGAGTTCAAGCTAAAGCAAAAAAAAAAAAACCCACAAGAAAAATAACAACCCAAACAGAGTGTCTTGTAAACACCCTATGTACAGTTCAACACTTGCTTGTATAAAGGAGGTACGAAAGGGGCTAGAAATTGAACACAAAAGCACTGGAGTCCCGTAAATTTTCTTTCACAACTATTGAAGTGCAAATCACTCAGGCAAGATATGAATTTCACTTGTTTATTGCTCTCCTGCTGTCTGGCTTCCCTTCCTGAAAGAATCACATTCTTTTATTTCACACTAATTTTCCAAGAAGAAAACCTTCCGCGAGGCAACGTTGAATGCTTGGGCTTTTTGACACTAGACATCAGGTCGTGCGCTTGCGAGTACCAGAACACCCCGGCCACCCCTGGAAGCTCTGGGCAGAGGGCCGCTCTGCCCTCTCGCCCCCCGTTACGTTCAGATATGAGACAAGAGAAACAAACAGCATTCAACAACTGACAGGTAAATGGAAGTTACTCCTCTTCCCACAAAACTGCATGCACCTGGCGATGTTTCCAGCTGCAGAAGGAACACGTGCGCACGGAGAAGGCAGAGACTCGGGAGCCATTCGGGATGTCCGTGTGGGGTCTGCAGCTAACTACAAGTCCTGATATGTATCGGGGTAAACACCTATCCGCTATGGGTAGCAAAATGCACAGCACCTCAACATGCAGTTATCTGTTTGCATCTCAGACAAGAAAAGGGTAGAAATGCTGAATGCTGGAGCCGCGAAGAAGGTACAGTGCATAGTCCATTATAGAAAACATGCGGGTAACTCAAACCCCTTCTAAATTTCTTCAAAATGGAAATAGGGCTTAAAGGGCACAGCAGCTACTGAGTTTGGCTTTTTTATTTGTTCAAAACCATGAAAACCCAACGCAGAGGGTGAAATAAGGGCAGAACACGATCTGCAAGTCAACAGCTGAGAGTTTCAGAAGCTGTGAAGCTTTTGTGTAGTTAAAATTGCTGTTAAAAGTAGGTGCTACATCAGCAAGTCTTCATTCATAGTTTTCTATGAACAGCCACCTTACAAATGAGTGCAAATCTTAAAGGTCCATTTTACATTTCAAGTCTCAAGGTTAAAAAAAATTGTTACAGAGCAACAAGCTGTTTCTGTAAATGCCCACACTATCTCTTTTCAAATGGTTAAAAATGGCACGTGCTATGCCACAGCTACTAAAAGACATTTCAGAATTCTAGACCCAACTAAAACACTAAAATAAAAACTAGGAACTAAAATATCTTTGCCCCTTGCTGCAGAACAGCAGCCAGGTGCTTTCAGTTGTGATGCTGGTGAACAAACTGATTTGCAGAGAGAACCTTGACCCTAACCCCGATTTTATTCTTAGTGAGGGGCTTTCTAACACAAGGTGAGCGGGTGCAGCCCCTCCGAGATCGCTTTGCTTTCAATGAACACAAGCCAGAGTTCTGAGGATGAGATGGAGAGGTGCTGAATTTGTGTCACTATGCAGGCACTTGTGTATAGGAATGTAGGCTTCTCATGTTGACGCTTAGTGTTGATGCATTCCCTACTCTCTAAAAGCCTTCCTAAGAGTTCACTACCCTACTGACCATGAATAGCTCCTGGTCTCCTCCCTGTCACCTTGCAGATATACAGCAGTGGAGGTTGACACAAGGTGCAAAGGAGAATATGAACCAAATACTGTAGTCTTGAGGAAAAATAGGACTGTGCTAAACGTAGGATCTTCACAAAACGTGACATCTGTGGGCTCAGCACTTAGTTTGCATAGCATATTGATGTCTTCATTTTTCACAAACACGTTGCCCAAGAAGAAAACAGGTAGAGTGAATTCCCGGTGTCAGGACAGATCAATGGGCCAACATGACCAGTGTGGTTTTCATGAAGGCAAGGCAAGTTTAAACGTCAGAAAGTACAAAACAAAAAGGTGTGCTTCTATCCACGCGTACTGACAAGGGGCAGTGCTCGTGGTGGATCTGCCTTGGAAACGCGTTGATGTTTGGCAGTAAAATGATAACAGAGCTCTTCCCTTTAAGAGCTTGGTAGGAGTGTGCGCATCATTTTTTCTCTTGAAGGAAGCGCTGTGCACACTTTCATTTAAAAAAAAATCCCAGATAATCTGCAGACATGATATTGGTAATGAGTTGCTACTACTGCCCCGCTGTGCGTAACGGTCACTCTGTGCAGCAAAATGAGTCTGAAAAGCAGTCACTACGTCACTGTTGGGAAAAAGGCTTTTTTCCTGTTACAAACACAAATCAGTAGGAGTTTCCCCCATGACAATAACAAGGATTTCATCATTCTGACTAAGGAACAAATCTGGTGTGCTTTCAGAATAAAAAACCCTGTGCATGAGATCAGTGATATCACGACACGAAGAGCAGCAAAACCTAGCAGCAGAGAGGGTGACAGTTTGGAGGTGCTGGAGTTGGGGTACGCGGTACTTCAGAAAGCAGCCGACCCAGGCAGACACGTGCTGAATGCACACGGGAGACGGGCGCTGAGGAGTACCCGGCGCTGCACGGGCTGCAGTTGGTAACACTCATCAGACAGGAAACGTTAGAAATCTCTGGCGTGAGCGCACAGCCTCAGGAAGTGCGGTGATGTAAACTCTGAGCATGTTAATGACTTGTGTATTTTGGCAACAGACTCGGTATCATATAAAAATAATGTTTAGTAAAAAAATCCTGGTGTCCATCATAAAAATTCAGGAAAAAAAAAAAAGAAAAAAATTGATAGCAATTTCTGTCCTCATGGGATGACGATGCCCCCATTTGTCAGAAACAGTTTTAAATAACAAGTAGTACATTGGAAACAAAAATGGGTCAGCAGCCATTAAACGTGTCCTATATGAAAGTGCACATCTTTCAATGGAGTTTAACCACCATGAGGTTGTGATCTAACACAAACTGCAACTTAGGACCATAGAAATTAACTCCTTCTGATGGAAATATGGACCACCATCAAGACAAGATTACTGTTTTCCTTACAAGATTAAAAACATTGAAATTTTGCAGCATCATAGTAAGGCACTCACCCATGGAAAAGTCTGTGACTGTTGCTTCAAATGGCAGCAGCTAACTAGCTTTTAACACAAGGAAGACAGTTTTCAGTTCTGAGCTAAGTGCTAGGGTGCCTTACATTATATGGGGGGAATTACTCGGGGGCGGGGAACTGTTAGTGTTAGAATTCTCCTATAAACTAGTTGTTTTTCCCCTTAACCCATTAAAGCATCTCATATTCTAAAATATTAGTTTTATAAATCTAGTCTTCTGTTTTAAGGCTCTAAAAATCCCCTCCCCCCAACCCCCACAAAAAATACCTACCAGCGCCTGGTGGGCAACGGAGGACCAAATCCGCCATTTCACAGTCAGGAGTCTATAGTATTGCATCTTAAAAATGAAAACCTGCTTCCGCCTCCTGGGAGTTTTATCCCTTCCTTGAATGCCTTCATGTGTTTGGTCAGGTCAGAATTTTGCAAAGCCAGAAAAATTAAGAAAATAATCATCAGTCTCTTCCAATCCTACAAAGGTGTTGGATCTTTCTGTCCCGTGGTGCTGGTCTCCTGCCTCGAATCGACGCTGCCTGCCCTGCAGTGATTTCTCATTGGAAAAAAACCAAGGTGTCCCAATGCTTCCTTTTTTGTATGGCTCCTACAAATCTGAAAGCTTTCTTGAGTGAGGTAACAAAAGTTAGGCTTTCAAGCAAAGTACATGGTACGTAAAGTGTCCTGATGAACCTGCACAGCCTTTGCCAAGGCCTGGGGGTCTCTGCCGTTGCTCTGTCCAGATATATGGCTGCCCTCGCCACTGAAAATCAAGGAAATCACTGCATAATTATTTCATATTTCTCCCCCAGGAACACTGAGAAACCCCCTTGAGGATCAGAGTCCGCGATCGCTGGCAGCACAGGAAGACATCTGACCACAGCGTACAGGGATGCTGCGTGTGCTGGTGACCGTGCCTGGCACAGCAGAGACTCCGGCACCTCGAGGTGGCCGGTAACGCTCAAATACCCCAAGGATGCTCCTCCAGGCCCAGGATGATCTTGGGATGGGATTTGGGATTTAACCCTCCTTTACCCCCAGATCCCCCTAGGCTGGGACCTAAGAGGATGCAGCTACGTGTGGGTCTCCCCCCCCAGAAAGGGTCTGCTGCAGCGCTGCTCTGACACAGGCACTTTCAAACACCAAGGCAGGGTGCTCGTGCCCCCTGCTCATCCCTGGGGTCTGCCCTCCCGGGGCCGCAGGCAGAGCCCCCTCACCTGTCATGCTCCTTGTCCACGAGATGGTATCGCGCTCGGAACGCCACCAGTCGGGCGTAGTACGCCGGGGCTGGGATGGAGACTGAGCGGGTGCAGCGCACGTAGGTATGGCACAGCTGGTACGTGAGGATCTGCAGCTCATCTGCGGTGAACCGGTTGTCATCCCAGAGTACGTAGTAATGGGATGGCCGGCTCGTACCCTGGGAAGGAGAGGGGGCAGTGAGAGGTGCTGCCTCCACCCCGATGCAGGCAGCTGCCTGGCACCCTCATCACTCCCTCCCTGATCAAAACGACCCAGCACACGGCCGGGGCAGGAGAGATGCCTGTGCTTCCCTAATTTGAGAACCTCTCAAGTGCACAGGCGTTGTGAGGCAGGAAAGCCCTTAGCACTGAGGTGCAAACCAGCATTAATGCAGCGGCCCCGTGCCCAGGCACTGCCGGTGCTTCTGCACTGCCACCCCTGGCTCCTGACACGGCACAGCCCCCGGCATCACGGCTCACCACCGAACCGGCCCAGCTCCCTGCTGTCCTTGCAGGAGGAGAGGAAGGCAGAAAGCCTCCCTTGCGGAAGCAGCTGTAGATTAAATGAGTGCAATTTTTTCAGTACGGTTTCTGACTCATCTTGGCTGCCTGAAGAAAGGCAGCTGCAAAGCAAGCCGCCCGCTCCAGGGATGGCTGGCCCCAACTCTCCCGCCCACAGCCAGACAACAGGTCCCTGCTGACGACCAGGCGCCCCAGCGAGCCCGGCACGCTCAGACATCAGCTGACAAGCTGCTGAATTGGCCGCTCTGAAGGAAGAAAATCTCAGAGGAGAGATCCTTGGCTCCAGGAGAGAAACCAAGTACATGCCACGTAACGCAGCAGCAGTGCCGTCCCAGCACCTGCTCGCCAAACCACCGCAACGGCAGCTTGGACCGAACTGCCCACATCTCTGGTGCTGGAGGGAGGCTAAGAGAGGGCCAGGTCAGGGCGCAGTCTGCAACAACAGCCGAAGAAAACCACAGCAGCACAACAGCCAGCTCCGCAGCGCAGTACCTGAATGCCTGCATGACTGCACAGGTAGAAGTCGAACTCAAAGGGGTGGGTGATATTTGTATCCACGGTTGTTCCTGCTGGGATGTTCCCGCTCTTCCCAATCTACAGAGAACAGAAAGAGAGACCTAAGCGCTGCAGAGTTTGGTTATCTCCAGCTGCCCAGAGTATCGTCTGTAACACACCAGCCCTGCACCAGGGCCACCAGTGCCCATCTCAGTGTCTCAGTTTGAGAGCACCCTGCAGAGCTGCTCCCCAAGTGCCCGTTAAGGGGGGACAGGAGCAGCTCATCGCGCTCTGCTCCCTGCCCAAACAAGCTTGCCAGCATTTTCTGCCAGCATCAACACCAGGCATGACACAGAGACAGAGCAAAGGGCATCAGAAGGAAAGCAGGCAGGGTAAGACCTGGGCCCTGACCCATCCTACTGCAGAAACGAGGACTGAGTGGGCAAAACTCCAGGGATCTCTGCAGAGTGTATACTAGAGTCTCTGCCACGAGGGCTTTTGCACCCCGATCAAAAACTGTCCTCAGTTCCTAAGATTAAATCTTTCTGCTCAGGTAGAGCCAGAGTCTGGTTAGACTAGATCTAACTATTGAATTTAGATCAAATCTAGGAAAAGCTACAGCAGTCAATGTTACTGCACAGCACACATGAACAAGCTGTGAGCAAGGGGTTATTCATCCTGTCACGTCAGCGGCTACAGCTATCACCAAAACAACAGATGTTTTCAAGCTGACAGAGGCTATTTCAAGAGAGTCACCAGGATCATCAGCAGCCAGTAACTCATAATAACAGCAAACAGCTGTCTGGGTTTCTCGAAGCAGCCTAATCCGCATGGACGCGGGAGGCAACCGAGCAGCACGTTTCATTCAAGAAAGAGTTCTCTGCCTGCCAGTGGTGAGCTTTCCCCACGGCAAAGTCAAAGCTGGCTCTTCCTAAAGGCCGGGGATTAATCAGCCTCCTCTGGCCCCGGCACCCCATGGCGCTTACCCTCTCGTTCTTGTCTGCACAGAAGAGACGGGTGTGATGCCTTTTCTGGACGACAATGTAGGTGATACCAGGCTGGTAATCCTTTTCCAGTTTGATGCAGGCGTCTCGGATTGCTAGGAGCTCATAGTGAAGGATCTGGAGAGACAAGTGCAGGCAGAGTGAGGGGACACACCGGCACCCAGCCGTCCCCGTGCCCCTTAAGGAACCTCATGCAGCCCTGCTGGCTGATGGCCATCTGTGGGGTCCTCACCTGTGGGAGCTGCCCCTCAGGAACGCCATCGCGGTAGAAGATGATCCTGGTGGGTTTGAAGCGGGTGGATTTGTAGAACTGGATGAGGAGCTCCCTCACCATGTAGGACAAGTCCTCGATGATTTCCTGGCGAGGACGCTGAACGCGCACCGTGGCACAGTACCGGCTGGGGTGGGCGTCCATGCTGCCCACAACCTGCAGTGACAGAGACAGGCCAGGCCCACATGTTACAACGGGGAGGATGGAGGGGACGTGGACATTCCCAGCCTCCACCTGCTTCCAACACCCAGAGCTGGCAGTTGGCAGAGCCCGAGCTCACAGTTCAAGCGATTGGACAGCAAACACTGTACAGGCAACTAGTGCCCAAAAAGGACATCCTTGGTCATGGCCACGCTCTGGTTTCACGGTCTGCCATGCCCTTTGTGATGTTTATGGGAATTTCCAGTGAGACAACTTAGCTGATGCCAGTGAGTGATGTGGCTGTGGGGGCTGTTGCTGCTCTGCCCCAGCTTCACCCCTCCTGCCCAAAAGCAGAGGAGAGAGGGGGGAGCAGGGCTGCCCTTTCCCCCTGCCTACGCCCTTCTCCCTCCGTCCCTCACTCCAGAGGCTGTGTGAAGGACTGTGTGACCCCAAACTCTGCTCTGTTCTTTCACCAGGGCAACACCACCCCCAGAGTACAAAAGCCCACCTGCAGTTGCAGTGCCGCTGCTGTAACAGCTGCTGCTGCACTCTATATCACAGCAACACCAGGGAGCTCTGCTATCGGCCAGTCCTTACCCCTCCGACTGCGGCACAGCCGCCCTGCCCGCCCCGGGCCGCCCAGAGACCCTCTGCCCAAAAGGTGACTGAACCAGGTCAACGTTTGCACAGAGCATCTGCCAGCATCGCGTCCCTGCCCTCGCTCAGCCGCAGGCAGCAGAGCTACGCCAGACGGCCACGGTCTGCCCTGCCGGCGCTGCCACTTCCCGAGGACACGGCAGGGTTGAGTCATGACGCAGCAGCCATCGAGCAGGGAGTTCCCATCACAGCCGGGCGCTCTGGAGGGGAGACCTCAAAGGCGTCAGGGCAGAGGCTGAGAGCAGCCGATCTCGGCCGTGACGCAGGGCTGGGGGCGCAGCGTGAGTCACGGGTGTCAAAGCAGGTGCTGGCCCGTGCTGGGAGACAAATGCTTCGCTGCATCGCACGGTCCACATCCCCTTGAGCGGAGGGAAAGCGCTGCAGACCCCACGTCCTCAGCGGTGTCTAGCCGGCTACCCCTGCCCTCGGCAACGGTTTCACTTTTGCTTCACAAACGGAGGGCTAGGGTCTGGGCAGCACCAGTGGAGCCAATGTACTCAACAGAAATGTTTCCTTTGCCCTCAGCCATGAACCCCCTTCTATTGTCTGATCAACAACACACCAAGGACAAGATCAAGGCCATCTGAAGACTCTACCCTTCTCCTCCCCTGCAGTTTCAAAAAAGCTTTCATAAAAATTAAGAAAAAAAACCTCACAGTGGTCCTGCACAGAAAAACCACAGAAGTTGTTTTTAGAGGGGAAGCGCTGCCGCCAGGAAACAGACTGTTCTGTCCCACCCACACCTACAGCAAACAGCCAAAAGCATTTCCCAACCCCTTCTAATTACGAAAAAAAACACTCCTGCAAAGATGCATTTGCATGCCAAGGAAAACCTGAGCTATGAGTCCTGGAAAGTTAAGAACTTAATAGGAAAATGCTGACGTGCTTAATTAAAACAGACGCTATGAGAACCTGACACTTTCCTTTGCTTCCACGAGCACAAGGACACATCTTGGAGCCCCACGAAGGGCCCGAGCTGCCACCCAGCCTCACCAGCATGCGAGCGGCACTTCATTTGATGGATGCTCATTGTTCATTTGGGGTGAAGGGATATTCTCCTCCCCCAAAGGCTCTGAAGCAGCCCCGTCACCCCAGTTCTCCCCATCTCTCTCACCGGGGGAAGGTCCCTCCCAGGGCTGCACTGCAGGACCAGGATGCCCAGGGATGACTCCCACGACCGCACCAAACTCCCTGCACACCCTGTCCAACAGCACTCGCGGGGGCCGGCACATCACGAGCCCCATCTGCTGGCAGCTGCCAGCTCTCCCAGCGGCTCCCCAAAACCGCAGCTCCTCTGCAGAGAGGCAGGAGGGGATTGGGGACCCACCGCCCTGCGAGTGGGACTGAAACACCCAACAGAGCATGGGACCACCCTCAGAAGTGTCACTACAGGGGCAGTAGCGGCACAGCCCCTTTATAGGCACACAAGTGCCGCTCCAGCTCATCCCTGCAGGGCTCTCGGGCACCGAGCCTGGCCCTGCACAGGGAACTTACAGCCGTTATGGAGGGTTTCTTCCCATCTCCTGCTGGCGGGTGAGTGACATCAGCCCCGAGGAAGATCACCGGCTGCTGAAAGACAGCAGAGCTGGTGGGAGAGAAGAGAAAGCAGCAGTCAGCCTTTCAGAGCGATCTCAGGGTAATGCACAGCCCAATGGAGGTGAGCAGATCACACAGAGCACATCTCCCAACTGCCAGGCTCTGGCCTGGGCACATCAACAGCTCGTTACAAGGCCAGACAGGCTGCAAATCTATGTTTCAAAGAGCTACTTCATGCAGCCGCCCACAGACCCCCTCTTCCCCAGGTAAAGCCAGGCAGGCAGCAAAGCTAGGAACTGGGAAACAAGGCCCAAAGCTGCGAGAAGCAACAGCTGTACGAACCGCTGGTGAGGCACAAGGATGTTGTTGATCCCGCCAAGCTTGACGTTGATCTTGAGGCAGAGGTTGGAAAGGGTCTGCGGGGAGGTTTTCACTACGTTCTTGACCTGGACACACTGCGTGGCCATTCCCAGGAGGGTGTCCCCAACACGCTTCACCTCAGCTGTTGGCAGAGGAAGCAGATGAACACACAGGCAATCAGCAACGCACCGCTTCCAGCAGCATCCTCGGAAACGGGGAGAGAAAACACCGCAGGAGGAGCAGAGCCAGCCCTGCAGAGCCAGGGCAAAGCCCCTCTCCTCTCCCTGCTCGCCCCTGCCCCAGACGCACCGTACACCGGTGTTTTCCCTGGCAGGATGACAATGATGAGCTGAAGCCCCGAATAGGTGTTCTTGAGGTGTCGAAACATGGGCTCCACACTGTCTGCACCCTGGGCGTATTTACAGAAACAGGGCTGGCCTTGGATCGGCATCCCTGCATCTTTGGAGATCTTGCGCAGCTGGTCCGTAAAGTTCCTGTGCCCAGGAGGAGAAGCATTCAGCCCTGAGCCTTTCCGCACGGCCACTCCGCCTCACACCCCGGCCACCGAGCGAGAAGGGACCCATGGCTGGAGTGCTGCGGCACAGGACAGAGACACCACATCATCACATCTGTGGTTTTACAGCATCCAACAAGCACACAGCATGGGAAATGCAAGACCAACACGTGTTAGAGCTGAACCGTCCCCTCTTGATACCCTCTTACCCAGGTAGTGACTCTTCCTGAAGAGTGATGGAGCTGTGAGCTGTTCTCCTCCAGAAAGCTGGAGAAGTGGGGAGCAGACCTGCTGCCGGGGACAGTTATTTCCAGATGATTTGCAAAGCTGATGCAAGCCTTCACTCACCAAACTGGACAAAGTGCTCAGCCACACTCTGGATTTTTGGATTGCCAAGCATAAATTTGATGCAGGGAGAATCAGAGGGAGCGTGGGGCTCCCAGCTCTGCCCCAGAGGGGTCACACAGGAGTGTGGTGTCACTCCCACCTCCAACCAGTTACTGCAGATGTGGAGACTTTGAGCTGCTCCAAACCATCCCAAACATTAACCGTGCCAAACACCCAGAAGAGGCACACAAAATGCTTGCCTTGATGCATCCACTCTCAGTCTGGAGAAACTTGAGTCCCCAGCAGAATCCAAAACTAAGTTGACCACTTCCCTACATCAAAAAACCTGTCCCCGCTCTGTGTCACTTTGCTACCGAAGCAGAGAATCTCTAAGCTACCAAAGCTTTTCAGAAAGCCTAAGACTTCTCTGTAATAAAAACCTGTGGCACGTTAGGATGCTTCCTACATGAATTACATTAATTCAGATAGGGTATTGGGGAAACTTTTCATTAAATATCCCTCACAACTCCACCTCTCTGAGGAGATTCAGCTGCAAAGAGTTCAATACAGCCTTAGGGATGGCAGTATCAGATCACGATACTGCAGCTACCTGATGCAAAGGAGAGCCTGACTGTCAGCTCACACGTGTTGGAGTGCCGATATGCTCACTCCAACCTGGCAGGCTTTGCGATGGTTCAGAGACTGTCTGCAGCCAGGATAAAAAGTCAGGCACTCTGGATAAACTAACAGAAACGAGACTGAACACCCTGCCCGAACCCGGATCAAATTTGTACCACGAGCAATTCAGATCCAGTGTTGACAATGAAGGATGTGCAGCCCCAGGCTGGGAGCAACAGGGTGGCCGCACCACAAGCCACAGCTCCCCCACATCATCCCACCCATGCGGGCTGCCCCTTTCCTTACTTCAGCACCTCCTCTCGACACTGCTTCTGCGGGGCAAAGCAAGCAATCGCCCAGACTTTGATCTCAATGCCGTTGTAGAACTGCTTCCCTCGCATGTCCCACACGCCTTGGTTGGGAGTTGCAATGGCCCGGTTCTGCAAGGCAAACAGACGGTCAGAGCGCTGCCGCGTCCTGCCCGGCCCCGCGCCGGCAGCCCCCGGGGGGGCACCCGCATGTGCCGTGCTTGTGCTCCCCATCACAAAGCTGTACGCCCTCGCCAGAGTCAACTCCCTGCACTGCCAGGGTCTGCCATGGCGCATGGCAATCGCATGTGCCGTGCTTGTGCTCCCCATCACAAAGCTGTACGCCCTCGCCAGAGTCAACTCCCTGCACTGCCAGGGTCTGCCATGGCGCATGGCAATGGGCAATTCACAATCAGCTCCTCAAAGGCGACAGAAAATTCACCCGAGCTGCCTTACCCTGAGCATCTCTCTTTTTTGTCATCAAATGACTCTTGGCTACACCTTCAGTACAGTTATATTGCCAAAACACCAAAAAACCCAAACCCAAGGTGCTCTGATAAAAAAATCCAGGTCTAACCTACAAACCTGAAGGTAGCACAAGTTTTGTTCAGAAACAGTATTTTCTGGTGTGAAAGCATATCTCTGCACAATGCAGCCCAACACCCGGGCAGCGTAGCCCTGCTTACCCTGCCTCCGTACTGCAGAATGGGTGCCGGCAGGACCCTCCCCGTCACCTCCGTCATGTCATCTTTCACCTTGATCCCAAACTCCTGAATGTACGGATCCAGGTTGTAGCTGGCATTCTTCATCTGCAGAGGGAAGGAAGGGCCATGGGAGGGTGCGAGACCAACTGCTGCATCCCACACAGCTTCAGATGGCCAGAAAATATGGGCACCTAAAGTCATGTTCTCTACAGAGCCGAAGTCCTCTCCACAAGGAGAGGGAAAGCGGTTTAACACACAGAGCCAAACCCTGCCCTTCAAACTGACGCATGGGGACCTGACTTTTGAACACACTGAGCAATACAACCGAGAGCACAGCCTGATCCTGAGATTTAAGGCTTCAGTGGGAAGGTTCAGACTGGCAAGAGGTTGTTATCAAGAGTACCAGAAGGCATATCAAATGTCCCCAGCTCCAAAAGCCCAGAGACATCAGTTTGGGTAACTGCAGCAGCATTAACCAGCTCCTGCCGGGCCGCTGGCAGAGGTGGGTTCCCCTGGCTCACCCCAGGCTGACCTACAGCCCCACAACGCATAGTCCCCGCGTACACCCAGAGCAGGGGTCATTTCTCTAATTCCATCAGCACGAGGACCTGAATTTGATGTACATGAGTTTCCACGGTCCCTTTTAGCTGGGCTCCTCTGCACAAGTGTCCATTACACGCATGCAGGCACCTCTGACCAGGGATTCAGTGAGAAGAGGGGGATAAAATCAAGCCATTAACACCACCAGCATCTTCTGAGCAGGCCGCAGCTCTCCAGTACAGGACCACAACAAGGTTCATCACAGATATGACACTGTAACTGCCATCAGAGCCACAGCCCCAACACAATCCCTCCCATTCCCCACCCAGGGACTCGTGCCACATACCAGGCGACTGATTTCCTCCTGCCTGTCTGGGGCAGACCTGGCTGTTGCTTTTATCATGGTTGACGTTTGATTGTCTGTGAGCTTCTTGATGCACCGCTGGCCTGCCACGATGTTACACACCTGCACAGCAGGGAAGAGAGAGCAGCCACTCGTCAGGGACGGGTGAGACACAGGGGAGCCTGGCTGAGCTGCCCCACAGGTATGGCACTCGGGCCCTGCAGCCAGCCCCAAACTGAAAGTGCCGAGCCTTCAGCTGCAGGAAAATGGCATTTTTACAGCATGGTCTCCTCCCTCCCTTACTACAATTGGCTCTTGCCAGGTCAACATCAAGGCAATTAGTGCCCGCAACACATCAGCTGCAGAACATTGTCATGCATCTGCCAGCAAAAGCCACTTGCCTTTGCTTTGCACAGTGCCCAAAAGCAGGAGCGCCCAACAGCACAGAGTCGACACTCACCTCCAAGGGCAGGTACGTGTGCTTCTGCTCCTGGCCAACCTGGAGACAGGGCAGGTGGGGGTATTTCAGCTGCAGGTTGTATTTCTGCTTAAAGTACTGAGCCACTGTGCACTCCACTGTCTGACCGCTCTCCAGCTGCAGGGGAAACCTGGCAGAGGCAGGACACGAAGGATGCACCTACTCAAAACAGACACTTCCAGACCTCAAGCACTACTTACTCTGGCTGGGAAGAGAGGGAGCCAGCAGGCTCCCACTCCAAGCTACCATAAAAGAAAATAAAAAGCACAACAGTGGTATTTTCAGAAATTGAGTCAGGAATACTCTGATCCCAGTGTGGGACTGAGGTCCCTAAATAAAGCTCTCCCTCATTAATCCAGCTAATCAGGGCAAATGTTCATTGCAGGACATGCCACACATGCCACTGTCAGGTACATAAATACAGCACCCTGGCATTCAGGACTTCTGAGCCTGATGCCCTCCCTGGCAGCCAAGCTGAGCTCCAGGCAAAGGTTAACCACCCTCTCCCAGTATTGGGCAGCAGCTCCGGGGTGGGCAGAGCGCAGGGGGCAGCAGGGGTGCATCTCCCTTCAAAACCACAGGGGAAAAAAAATAATCAAACTTCCCGGCGGCAGGGCTGAGGGGTGCCGCACCACCCGTAGCTGGAACACACGATACCCAGCCTCACCCAGCACCAGCTGCTCCCAGCTCCTTAACAAGCTCCATGAAAATGAAGAATTGACCCGATATTCTTTATGGAGCCAAAATTAGACAGGAGAGCCAGCCCGCACGCCCTGGCGAGGTGTCGCATTCCTCCTGCGCTTGCCAGGCCCCAGGGCTGGGACCCAAGGATGCTGGAGCACGGGGCGAGTGGGGTGTACACAGCAACAGGCACATAAACCCCAACGAGAGACACCCGGAGATGGGGTTGTGCAACAAGGAAGCATGGCTGTGGCAAAGGAGATGCCCCCCTCTGAAACCTGACAGCAAGTACTGATGTTTGGTATCGGGCAAGAACTGAGAGGAGAGGTTTTCTGCCAGCACTCGGGTTTGTACAGCACGAGTCAAAATTTCTTGATTTGGGTGGGGTTTTTTTGTGTGTTTTTTTTTTTTTTTAAACTCTTGGCAAAATTTCCAGCAACATTGCAGGAACCTGGGGGGCAAACAGCCTGAAAAACATCCCCCCCTCCCCTCCAGCTCCACTGCTGCCTGCACAGGGAGGTCTGGTTTTGGGGGGGTTTTTTTTGTGTTTTTTTTTTTTTTTTTAAACTCTTGGCAAAATTTCCAGCAACATTGCAGGAACCTGGGGGGCAAAGAGCCTGAAAAACATCCCCCCCTCCCCTCCAGCTCCACTGCTGCCTGCACAGGGAGGTCTGGAGGGCCCGCCTGCTCTCCTCCCAAGCCTCTGCCTCAAACCCCATTTCGCTTACAAGCTTTCCTGGGGGCAATTCCCAGGGCAAACCCCAGTGATAAGCCCTGGAAACGCCTGTGGGCTGTGGCACCTAACAGTTTGGTGCTGAGGACACCACCTCCATGGTGCTGCTGTCCCCATCTGCAGGGGGCTGCAGGGAGCAGGGCAGCATCCCGACACGGAGGGGTGCCCAGGCCCAGCCTGCTCCCAGACATATGGAAATAATTTCAAGGCAGGGAATCGCTTTATTCCCTGACAAAGCTTCTGCTTTAGCAGTGTCTATTTTAAGAAAGAAGAAAACCAAACTCAGAGGTAAAAACTAGGACAATTCCTGGCATGTTAGCTCCCGCCCGCTGAAGCGCGCCGCCTGCCAGACAAAGCATCCTCTGCACTCCCACCCTCCCCTGCATCCCGTTCGCCTTCACCACGCATGGCACAGAGCTGCGTGAGCTGCTGCGCCCAGAGCTGCTGCAGAGCACTAAACACATCTCCTTTTGCCATTGCAGGCTGGAGTCTCCCATCCAGCTCTCCCTAATGACACCAGCAGCTGCTAAAAAGGAGAACAGCTCAGATTTTTCCAACAAGGGCATCTTCCCACCCGCCTTACGTCTGGTGGCTGGCCGGCCGCCTGGTAACGTTACACACACGGTATTTCCTCTTCATCTGCCCACAGTGGGTAACCTCGACTTTCAGACCTGATGCAAGACAGGGAGACACAGCAGAGTCACTGGTAAAGGTGGGAGCAATTCCCCTTTGCCCAACTTCCCTGGGACACCACCAACACCTTCCTTAAATAATTGTTTGCAGAGCACATGTGCTTGCAGATGCCCTGAGAAGTGCACGAGGGAGGACATGGTGCCCCAGGAGACATTTTAAATGTCCCTCCCCACCTCGCTGCAGGGGCTTGGTGGGAGACAAGCCACAGCTGGTGTCTGGGGCAGTGCCCGGCTGGGGACGGGTCCTCAGCGCTCCCTGGGGGCTCTACCTTTGATCTCCTTGGTGAAACGCACTCTCTGTGAGTCTGTCAGGGGCTTCGGCTGTTCGTCGATGTTCCGGATGTCCAGCACCTCGCACATGAACTCGATTACAGGTTGGGCTTTGTAGAAGGCGGTGGCCGACACTGTGGGACAGATACCACGATGTGTCTCTGCTCTCTCCCATCAGACGGAGCTGGCCCAAGAACCAGCCAGATCCAGCCTCCCCACACACACCCAGCCCCACCGCTGCAGTTCCCCAGTGTGAAAAATACATCACCATCAATGTTGAGCATCATCTTCCACATGGCAGGCCTGACCGACTGGTGGAAACCAAACCAGACCTCCCTGCCGCCTCCCAGGGGGTGGTAGTAGCCTTCAGGGGGGGAGAAGAAGGAGCGTCCGACAGGAGTGTACCTGTGAACCAAGGCAAACCGCATCGGTCAGCACACACCAGCCCCACCAGCAGCGACCATGAAATGCCTCCAGCCCCTCCGAGCCATTGCTCGCCCCGCTGGCTGCATCACCACGTTTATTTCTATTGCAGAAGCATCCACAGTGATGGCACTGAGCAGCGCAGCAGGCACAGACCCCCAAAGACCTCCAAGGCCAGACCCAGCCACAACGGCCTGCCAAGGGCAGCTGGTCCCCTCCCCGGCATGCTCAGTGCTCGCAGTATGGCCCCTGTTGAGCTGCCCCTTGGCACAGGTACCTCATGGAAGCCAGGTGCCTCATGGCAACATCCAGCGCCTGGACGGACTCCAGTGGGACGGGGATCTGCCCGCTGACCAGGGCCTCGTGCAGCATGCGCCAGCTCACGATGGCCATCCATTTGATGGAGACCTTAAATATCCTGTCCTTGCCTTCCCCCGGGATCGTCACCTCAAAGTCAACCTGGGTGCAGAAGGGAGGGAAGCGATCGTGGCATCCCCGCAGGCGCAAGGGGACCAGGTCATTTTCAGCTGGTCCTTCCCAGGCACAAGGCACATTACGTCTGCCTGGCACGGGGCTCACCGCCTTCTCTTACCCGCTCGTTTCCAATGGGTAAGGCCGTGACAGTGTAGATGTTCTTCTTCCCATCATAGACTGGCTTTCGGTCACCAAAGATCTGTGGTTTGAAGTGCTGTACCATGTACTCCACGACTTCCCTACGCAGGCGAGCGGGACAAGAAAGAAGGATAGAGGGAGGGAAGGGTGAGGTTCGTTTTGCCAGTTTCTTTACAGCCTGACACCTACTGTGACCTGCCCAGTCCTGAGCCTCTCTGCCCAGGGCACTTCTGAGCCACAGGGCACCAAAGAGCAGAGCCATGTCTCCCTGGGGCAGGAGGGTCCCCAGACAAGCAGCCACCTGCCTTGTCCCGCAGCTCAGTACATCGGCTTCAGCAGAAGGAGTTTACATGACATGCAGGAACGTGCACCCGCCGGAGCTGGCTGAAAACCCACCATGTGTGCCGGGAGGGAAAGAAGGAGCGGTGACTTGCTGCCCGCAGCCACCGGGAGCATCTGCAGCATCTGCTCACCAGCCTTTGGGGCACAGAGCTACCCAGGCTGCCAGGGCAGGAGGGGATGGGCAGCGAGTAGGATGCCAAAAAGAAAAACACAGAAAAGTACGCGATGGCCCGAGGTCTTGGGCTTGCTATTTTTAAACACCGGATTGTTGCCAAAATAGCACAGCTGCTTTGAAGCAGCAGGGGACTGTGCTGAGGTTCAGGACCTCCAAGGCTGTCAGGGGCAGGAACCAGTGCTGCTGTACAAACACAGCTGGTGGGGTCCAGCCACCCATGGGTGCTGGGCAGCACTGTGACCCCTGCCACAATGTCACCCTGATGGCTTCTGCCAGTGAAGATGGAGAACAGGCACTTATGGAGCCTCCACAAGGAAACTGGAAGCAGGGAACGAGTGCCAAAACCTTTAATACTTGCCTTACCTGTTGACTCTGCGTGGACATTTGTCAGGCTTGATATCCACTTCATAATGATACACATCAATCTTGGGAATGTCCACTTCAAAGTAGTTGGCCAAGAGCTTGATGGGCTTTCCAACAGTTCCTATCCCGGGCCGACGCGGCGCTTGAAATACCTGCTGCAAGGGTGGCAGGTATGCGCCTGCAGCTGCAGGGAGAAAACAGGTCAGGATTGGGAGAAACCACGTGCCCAGACAGACAGACAATGCAGAGTCACAGCGCCCTCCATCACTGCATCCGGAACCAGGAGTCGCCCACTCACGCTGCTGGCAGGAGGCGGTGGTGGCAGAATTCAGACCAGCACAGCTGGGAGCAGCTTCCCTGGGCACCATCCAGCAAGCGCCAGCGCAAGCCGAGCCTTCAAAGGGCAGCACCAAGCCCTCTGCTCTGCTGTGCCACCACCAGCTGTGCAGATGTCAAACCATCCACCAGCAGATAAATAATCACTGCTTTGCCTTAGGGAAGGTAACTCATCCGGGGCCACACGTGCCAGTGGTACAGACCTTCGGAGGACAAGGGACTCCCATCACCTGTCCCAACCATGGGTGCACGCATGTCCTGGCATACACCGTGATACCTGTAACTCAATTCCCTGACCAGATGTGGGGACAGAAGGCCATGTTTGGTTCTCCTGACACTGAAGGACAGGTTGTACCTAATTTCCACATTAAAATAGCTTTGAAAGCGCCTGCTACGCTGCCGCAAAGCTGCACTTCAACTTCTGTTTTGCACAAGAAATGTCACAATATGTAAACAACCAGAACAGCAGCAAGAAACTCTCCAGCCTGGGGTTGAAAAATTAAGTAGAGCCTTGTAACTGCGCCAAGAGCTCACCATGGGCCTGCAGCAGCAGCAGCAGCAACCTTCACCTTATCAGTGTGGGAGACATCGGCACACTGAATTAGTGAAGATACACTTAGACCAAGGCCAGCCCTCCCAAGGCTGTGGTGAGTTTTTATTGCCTATCTCTTCCCCAGCTCCTGCAGAAGGAATCCTTCTGGCAGCGTCTCTCCGGGCATCCCATCCCACAGGATGGCATTTGCCGACCAACAAGCACAGCAAGGGCCAAGTATCACCTGCCCCACTGCACGGCAGTGACGGCGACATCAAAGCCAACCCACGCTGGGCTCCAGCGCGCAGAACGCTTTGTTGTAAGGGCAGCTCCAAAAATAGCCCAGGTCTGACAGCTCCCCAGCGCCGAGCAGGAGGCGGCGTGGGACTTGCTGGGTCACAGGGTGAGGAGAAATGGGATGCTGCTGCAAACCCCAAAGGAGAAAGCAACCATCTAACACAGCCAAAGGGTTTTGCCACAAACAGAGTGGTCTCACCCAGTTCCACACTTTATGTCTGCCAGTTGTGGCTGGTGGATACACTACCCCCTCCTCCACACATTTTCCTTCAAACACATCAGTCTTCAGCTCCTGGAACACCCAGGGTCGGTTTTAGCAGACAAGGGGTTTGCAGGCACCCTTGGTGCCGGGGCTGGGGTGGTCCTGCCGTGGGGAGCTCAGCCAGGATGCCCCGGCAGCACAGGCAGCCTTTGTCCCACGGCCAGGGCAGCCCCGTCCCACTGATTTACAAGCCAGCGCCAGCACAATGGGGAGGCTCTTCCCTGCAGGAGGGGGTGAGGGACCACATCTGCTCTGGAGAGAGAAATATGGCCCCGCCAAGATGCGCAGGACTTCTACTGGAGGCAAAGCGAGGGAATGAGGAGCCGCCAGCAGTGCCACTGCCTCCCTCCCTGCCGGCTTGTGTGGCACAGGCTACAGCATCTGCTGCCTCCGATGGGAGAACAGCACCGGCTCCACCGGCACAGAGCTGCATCCAAGAGGATGCGGACACATGCGTTTTCCCATCCATCCTCCACCAGACTCGCTGCCGGAGGGAGGATGCCACAAGAAACAGAAAACACATTATTGCATCTGCACTACGCGATTATTTAACTGCTAGATTTTGCAGGATAACAGCTCGCTTTGGTTTTATACTCGCGATTAACAATGGTGTTTTGAGCTCCAGGTTGCAGGATAACCCAAGTCCCAGTACCTGAACTCTCCTTTTATCCTTAACCCTTCCCCAACATAATTCTCAACTGCTGTTCAGCAAAAACAAGAAGTCACATCGACGAGGAAGGCTAACTCCAGGCAAGCTGCTGATAAAACTAGAGAAAATTAAAAACAGTTTGGTGAAAACCTCCCATGGATTATAGGAGGTAGCAGTAAAAAAAATAATAAATCAATCTCAAACCTCCACTTCAAGCAGTGTGGGCCTCAAACCCGTAGAGGGAAGTACTGTTTTTTCCACAGAGTCCATTATACAGACTTACTGACGAAGTTCTGGAGATGGACAGATGGGTACCCGTGCACGGCCACAGGACTGGACTGCATTTCTAAACTGACAGCACCCTTGGACTCAAAGGTATCTTACAATGTTGCCAAAGAAACATTCAACCCCACTGCTCTCCAAGGCAAGATCTGCCCTTCCTGCCCTGCTCCCACTTTGCCTGTCTCCACCTATCCCAGTTCGCATCGTCTATCTGTACCTCAAACTCTGCGAGGTCTCGGCCAGCTGGGCTGGGTGCGGGGAGCACAGCGTGGAGATATTCAGCGCACTCCATCTGGGTGACCAACTGTCCAAGTCAGCCCCCAAACAGTGTCCCAGCTCCAATTTTGGCTCCTGAACACATGGTGCTCTTAGCACCCCTTGCTCCCATTCACATTCTTTTTAAATCCAAATTTCAATTCCAGGCTAAAAATATCAGAAGCCGAAAAACAGAAAAGCAGCAACCTGAGCTTCAAATTTGCTTTTTACCTTTGCACCCCGCCTCGGCAAGACCATTCCTGCCGATGGAAAGCTACCGTGCCGCAGGACACCAACGGGACAGGACAACCCTTGCGAACATCCAGAGGCTGAACTGCAGCGTTAAGTTCTGCAAAGCCAACCTCTGCTTCTGCCCTGCAGCAAGAGCCCGGGACCTTCAAAATCTGCTGGGAGCCCCAAGCCTGGAGCTAACCTGGTCCCAGCGCCTCCTCGACAAGGCAGTGTGGGACGTGGAGCAGTCCGAAAGCAGGACAGGGATCTCCGAAGCCGACGCGAGGCTCGGACCCCTGCAGGCACTCGCAGCTGCTCCGGGACAGGGCGGCCGCCAGCCCCCCTGAGACAAACGGCTGCGTTGTGCTCCAGGGGCAGCTCATTTTTAAGAAACTGATTTTGAGATGAGCTACTCACGGTGCAATTCATGTCTCCACATGACAAACATTTCTTGGCAATTGCCAGCTGCCTGGCTGCAAGCTGATGCATTTTTATATCATGGTTTGCAATGAAAGAGGTATTTGCCAGCGCTGCTGGAGCCTCCGGTCCCTACTCTGCCTTTTGAGTGAGACACCACACAGCCCACTTGTAAGACCTGCCAGAGGACAGCAGCTCTCTGCTGCCTTCCCTGCAACCACATCAAAGCCAGCACCTGCAGTTTCTCCTCTTCTGGACCTTCTCACCTCTGAGACGATCCCAGAAGCTGTGCAGGACAGCATCTCCACGTGCCCACAGCATCCCCACGGATGCAGGGGTTGCAGGGCAGCAGCCACAGCTCAGCAGCCGCCCAGCAGCACCTCGGTGCCGGAGAGGAGCTGAAGCAGGTTTGGGGCCGGCAGGAGCTGTGCTGCAGAGTGGAGAGAGAATGGTCCCACACCCATTCTGCTACCCCAGCACTGCACAGGTCAGCCTGAAAAGAATGCTTTACCATACAAAGCCTCTCGCTGGAGGATCGCCACATGCTATATGAACGTAAAGCCTCGCAATTAGGATCATGAATCACAGATGATGGAGTCAGCCTCCAGCAATGCAAAAGTTGGCTCAGAAGTTTGATGCGAGCCACGAGATACCGCAAACACAAGGTAATATAAGCGGGCAGCCTGGCTGGAGGAAGCAGCACTGCGACGGCAAGGAGATGCTCTGCAAAAACCAGGGCAGGACAGAAGACCAGCATCGACGATGGGAAAGTTCACCCCTGAGCTGACTCAGAGGGTTTTATTTTGGTGACCACAGACACACGGTCCTCAAACACTACGAGCCAGAGCAGCCGCCCCTGCAGCCCAGCCCCAGGCTCACGGCAGGGGTTGTACCACCAGCCCAGAGCTCAGCTGGCAAAGCGGAGAGTGATAACTACTTTTCCTTTCTAAATCACTTTGAGATCCAAAGATTTTTAAAAAGCCATTATCTCCCAGTGCCTGCGCACAGTGCAGCAGTGCCTACCTGGGACATGGCTATTTATAAGGACGGTGACATGGTGGCAGCCAGGAGGGGGACCAGGGGTGATGCTCAGTGCCTGACAGGAGTTGCGGCATCCAGAACCTCCAGTGTGCAAGACAGACTCTCACCTGGCTTTGGCTGCTTTGGCCCAGGTGGGAGAGAGCCCAAAGCCCTTTGGTGAACACACAGGCTGGGCTCACCCCTTCCCACGCCACATCC